ATCTACACCCACAGCTATCTTCGTCAGAAGAAACTGTCGCATATCCTACTGACTGCTGCACGAAAAACGCACGAATCGCGTTAGAAAACTGGCGCATGCAAGATAGAAAATGGGCCAGTTATCGACAAAGGCTACTTTTTGTACGTCTGCAGGGTAGTCATAGACAAAACCACCCAGTGAATCCAACGAAACTCTTCCACCACCACCACAACTGCTAATAAACACCCCTAATACGTAACCAAAGTGTTTACTAGTTCCCTTTTCTGAATGTGAAGAGACATATGCTTGCGATGTGCAGTCGAGTTCCTGTGTTTGTTTCAAACCAGAAATTCACTAGAACTACAAACTAAACACAAGAAAGGAAACGTCGGTTTAAAGACATCTCTTCTTGCCCCTCTTTTTGCTCTGTGCATTTGTTTTTGGTTATTGCGCAAGTCTGGGATCCAGTCTCACTGCAGTTGTTATCTTGTACTCAGGCACAAAGTCCCGGTCAGCCACCGCCGCCTTTGCTGAAGCGCTGTGCTGCCGTGCTAGATCCGTTAACTAAAAGTGTCACTGGTTTACTGGAAGGATTGTATCTCATGGCGAAAGTCAAGTATCTTTCAGGTGGGTATAAAAGTTCTATAACCGGGGGTGCATCGGTTACTTCGTTACTTTTGTGAACGAATCTCATCAACGTACGGCGGAATACATTAGCGACATTATATAATATAGGTATATAGTAATAAAATGCGTATATAGTAATAAAATGCAGTGGAATCTCATTAAGATAAGGTCATGTGCTGTTTTTAGGTGTACTTACCGGTTGGAAAGGTTTTCTAGTTACTTCTACAAAACATTGTGACATTACAATTTGGCCGCCGTCATAGCATTTTTGAATAGCGCAAGTAGCTACGTATTTTTCTTGTGTTTTAAAAGCTTATACTACTTTTGCTGGTCCATATTGTCATATTAGACTCGCTTATTTTTAGTTCTGAGGAAACCTGATTCTTTATATTTCCTTTCAGGTTTCCTCGCCATCTGCTTTTCCTTTAACTTCCTTTATAATGCACCTTTATTGTAATGATGTGTGATATGGCGAATAAACATGCATGAATTAATGAACGAACGAACGAACGAACCGACGGGCGGACCGACCAACCGACCGACGGACCGAGTGACCGAACGAACGAACGAACGAACGAACGAACCTCACTCCATTATTTGCCTTTCCAAAACGAATGGCTTGTGCCTGATTACATATTACTACCTCGAATTTTAGCTCATTTTCAGGTAATACATTAGCCCTACCCTGATGGGGAGTTCATTGTCACGGGTAGTCACATGACCAGCCGCAACCAGGGTTGTTTCTCAAAACAAAAGAGAGAACCCTGTCAACGAATTGATTTTATTCATGAGATAAATCTTAAAAACCAAAGGCTATGACGTCATCGGCATTAATGTACTCCTCGGCAAGTTAAAGAGATTCCTCCGCAAAAACGGAGTAACCGGTGCGTCCTATACTACTGGCAAAGAAAGGCAGTAAGATCAAGAGTTTGATACCTCATTTACTTCAAAGTTAAAAGCGAACGCAGTTGTTCAGGAAGGTTAGGTCAGTTAGGACGTCAGGTCGGTGCTTCAGCTTGGTCTATCCACTCAAACGAGACTGCGGATGAGCCTCTTTTCCAGAGGATACTCCGGGTCATTATAGGCCGAGGATTTGAACCCTGGACTATCGCGCACAAATCCAGCTGGCGGTCACGGCGGGACTTGAAGTCGGGGTCTCCAAATTGCAAGTCCAGCGCTCTAATGGCTCAATCACGCTGCCTCCTGTCGTTGATTTTCTGGGAAACCGCCCACCTACCCCTCCCCTAAGCCAACATTAGCACTTACTTCTCACTTAGGGCAAAACGTTGTCTTAAGGGAGGGGTAGGTCAGCAGTTTGCCTAAACTTGTAATGATCTATAGTCCTTGCTGCTTTAGAATTAGAAGCTAACTCCTCCTTGACTTACATGTACACACAGTAGTAGCACAGCCGCGTATATTTGAGCGCCCTTGACTCAGGAAGTGTAAGTGTATATAACGCGGCAGTAACACATTTCAGTCGTTTGTTTTCAGGGGAGACTGATGCTGCTAAATCCTTGTTGATCCACTGCCTGGATCAAGACTCGACCTTTTCTGATGCACATCTACTAATGGCTCAGGTAATATCGCTGCCACCTCATTATGCCACTCCCTGCTTTACAAAGCCTCCCGAGGGCAGCATTTCGTTGTTCACAATGCTACAGTAGATGAGATAAGATAAAGTGTAGATACCAATTTCTAACTCAAATTGTAAAAACAAATGAGTTTTACTAGAAGCATATAACCCTTGGGTTATATGCTTCTTGTTTCACAGAGTGCTGTTTTTCATTTAGCTATGTCCGGAGCCGATTAGGTACTGTACAAATGAGCGACTTTTGAGTGATTTCACGGACGTAGCTGTCCAAGGAAATAATGGGTAATGGCTTTCTGTAAGTTGGAGATGTTTAGTTTGACGATGCGTATGTTTTGTTTTATCACTTTAGTATTATATCCCAGCAGAAAAATGTCTTTTTGACCTAAGTAATGGAACCCCCTAAATGCGGGCAACCCGTTAATACGGACACTCTCTAGGGTCCCCTTAGTGCCGCATAAACGGGCTTGACTGCTCACGTGATAGACAAACTAATCTTTAGAGCTTTCTTTCTTCAACAGATTCATCTCCAACAGGGGAACTTTAAACTTGCTGAGCAATCACTTGAGGTTGGACTCAGCTATAACTTTGAGGTGAGTAAGTCGTTTCGGGGAGTATATAAAAATAAACTGATTCCTAATGCGAGGTTTGTTGTAGGGGCGTAAACACAGGACGAGAAACTTTTCTTTTTGTTCCTGAACCTACATACGGTCCATAGGAATTCGACAATTGGAAATGATAACGATTAAGTTTGAGGGAACACAAATTCACTTTGTAAAAGACGTTTTGCTACCGTCGCCGTCAAAGGATCTTTAAAGGGAACTTACGGAACCACGACGACGGCGACGGCGCGAAAACGAGACGTAAAAACCTTGTTCGTCATGTTTCAAACTTGATTGCTAATATCCGATCTCTCCGGCGTACATTTGTTAAAAGTGGGTGTATTGATGTGGGGTTGAATTCTTAAGGACCCTTTCCGAGTTAAGAAAAACATGATCGTCTTTTGTGTTTATGTCCCCCGTAAAATGTAAAATTAGAAATTTTGACGTCGTAGTCTTGCAGTGACGGAAAGAAATGTATCACATGTAGAATCGCTGTTTTGCTTATTAAAACTGATGCTTTTTGACGTTCTCATTTCCGTCGCTGTCGTGACTGCGTGAGCTCGCTAATCTCCCCAAGGGTGGATTTCCTTTGTCGCGTAAATTTTACGCGCGTAAATAAAATAGAGACAATGTATAGAAAGTCACGCGTAACGTAAAAGTTAAACCTCGCTCAACTTTCATGTTTACACGTTGCCTTTCGTACATTGCCTCTTTTTCATCTACGCGCGTACGGTGGTGGAAATCAACCTTAACCGACAGTGTCAAAGCCATGCAATGTGACACCATAGGGATGCTTTCACCGTAGTCTTTGCTAGATGTTTTTTGCTAACTGTAAGCCACTTTAATGTTAACAAGCTAATAATTTGCTTTGCTTTAGGTAAGAAATCATCCTTTGTATCATCTGATCAAAGCAAGAGTTCAGAAGAAGATGGGGCATCCAGAAGAAAGTGTCAGCACCATGCAAGCTGCAATGAACCTGCCTGGAGTTAAGAAAGCAGGTAAGCAAACTGCATGGGAGTTCCTTAGGCATAATTCAATCAAGCGCGTTTTACATCTTCTTTATTGGCTGTCCTGTTATTTGTGTCGGGGCGTTTGGGCTTAAAAACATTGGTGGTGCTGTGGCTTTTGTATGATGAGGTTCTTATCACTCCAATGCGAAGTTTCCACCAGTCTACCATCTGATATAGAAAGACCCCTGTCACAGCTTTCGCCCCCAAAACTCTTAGTCAGTCGTAGCGTTGGCGTAAAGCGACGAGAATCTAACTTGTTAAGCAGCCTTGTGCATTTTGGGGTCGCTTGTGAGCATATCGAATTTCGAGAACGGTCCTACGCGTCTGTGACATTTCACTGATTAGCTGGTGAACGCTCCTGGTTGATGAGAGCTGTACATGATATTATTACATCATGATTAAAATGCTATAAAAGAAGTCTTCTTTTTTAAGGTCTGTCAGTTTTTGTCTAGCTTTTTTTGTTGATTTATTGTGATTGCATTGACTTCGTAGCTCCAAAATCTCAAAGCAAGAAAATAGCGATTACCTCCAGTGATCGTGCAGCAGTTTACCTTGAACTAGTAGATGCTCACATGGAGGCAGGCCAACTGGTAAATTATGATTCATGTTTTGATTGTTATTCAGATCCTCATGGTACAGTAAACTATGCCTGAACTAAAACATCATCCCACAACGATTTTTCCACAAAACCCTGAAAATATTTACGGACAACACGTCAGAAACAAGGATGGCACAGTTGGTCGGTGCGCGGCCCTCGGTGCGCGAGCTCTCGAGTTCGATCCCCTGTGGCATCACATGTTTGTTGACAACACATGTTTTGACTTCTCCCCTTTCATTTATAGATCGGTTTAACTAGCTTTGAATACCCTTACAACGGAACATTGATGTAGAGGGGAGACGGGGATGAGCGCACTGTCGACTTCAAGTTGAATTACTGTCACCAGTTATCCACGTGAAATATGATTGCTTTAGCTCTACCTTTACATTCCATTGAATACATAAATAGCGCCTTGTAGACATTGCCTGGAAAAACAGCTTGAGTAACAGGGCTTCCTCAGGGAAAGTGGAGATGAGATGCGGGAAGGGAGGAAGAGAGTAATACCTAGGCTAAATAAGACATTTCTTTAAGCTGGTCAATGTATTATAAAAACACGTCAATATGTATTTATTTTGTAGCATGAAGCGACTAAAGTGATGCAGGATGCTCTGGAGGAGTTTGGCGGAACTCCTGAAGAAGTCAGGTAAGATCAGAAACAAGTAGCCTATTACGAGACATGCAGGTACAAAAGCGGTTCCCCTTGGTGCGTGCGCGCCCCATAGTAGGGCGTCTAAGATAGCAAGATGGCAACGGCGACGAAAACATCAATAAAAAAATACTAATTTTGCATTCTTTTAACCTTTATCGCGATTATACCAGGCTTTCGCTCACTTTGTCTGGTGATGAATTCCGAAGAACTCAATCTAAGTTTAAAAAGAGAAAGAAAAATTCGTTGTCATTTGTTTACGTCCACTATAAAACTTTGAAATACGGCATTTTGACTTCGTAGTCGTTCAGTAACGGCAAAGAAATGCACCAATAGTAGAGAACAGCATTGTTTTTTCAGACCTTCTCGTTTCCGTCGCCGTCGTTGCTTATCATCTGTCTTTCTTATGCTAATCTGTGCCACGCATGCTGAGTAGCAATGTGAACTGTCTTTTGCTAACCTGTCGAGTTTGAGTGGTCACCAGGTAGTTACTTCATCATATCAAGCCATTTACAATGGACTAATGGAGCTTTTTCTGGCACTGAACATTTATTAAAGCCCCGTACACACGTATCAGGATATTTTTGTAAACGAATATGGGCTGGGATTTCGAAACAATGTGCGTCTGCACGTAGCGTATTCCTATCGTTTTTACCCCTCCACGCGAAAACGCTGAAACCATGGAAATACGATAGCATCCCTTACAGGGTGTTCGTATTCAAGCAACCTCCGTTTTCGTCCGTCCACGCGTAAACGAAAAGCCCGCGTTTTCAATAAAACTCCACGCAGGGGACCGTTTTCGAAAAATCGCCGTTTGCATGTGAACAGAAGCCTAAAACGGAGAAAAAAATCTCCGTTTTAAAAATATCCGGATACTTGTGGAGGGACCTAGAGTGTTCTCTGTATATTGCAAAGGGTCTTTTTAATGACGTTTTGGGTCTGTCAGCTCCAAATCCGAACCTCACTCATTTACCATTTTTACTTCAGGGTACAGATATCTAATGCAGATCTTGTTCTAAAGAATGGAGATATAGAGCAAGCCCTGACCATACTACGACAAATAACACCCCAACAGAGGTAAGTGTGGTCGAGGGACGTCTAAGTAAAGTCATTCCTTAAGCTACGGTAAAACCAGGGGTAAAACCGGCGACAAAATTGTGCAACAAATCAGCGAAAGGCCCGGAAACTCATTGCTTTTTTCGGGCCCGAAAGGCAACTTTTAAAACTAAACCTGTTGAATAGTAGCACAGTTCCTGGCTCACAAACCGATCAATTTGCTTCGTTAAATGAAACTTTTATTATATCATTTTCAAAATTATTGGAACCTTGATATTGAATGCAAACACGACAAACACGAAACAGCTTTTCGGGGCCGAAAAGTTATCGGGACATTTGAGAAACATTTCGCTGATTGGCTAAAACTACGCCGGGGTCAAACCATGCACACGAGTTACGTCAATTTCTGTCAAACAAGTTTGTCTTGAGCGGGTAAGACGCGCAACTTGTACAGGTTTTCTTTTCAAAAGTAGAACCTGCATCCTGATTTGTTGATGTAAGAAAGGTTTGATTCGTTAGTGGTAAAACGCGTAACAACGCTTTTCAACTCTTTTTGTTGTAATGTTGCCAAGCAAGTTCCGGTTTACCGTACTGTACGTTCACCGCCTTTCATCGGAACCTGCTCCGCTTTGCGGCTTGGTGCATCTACTGTGTATTGTCATGATTTAGCGAGGGTCACTTAAAGAAAAATGACTTATCCCCATTAAAATAAGCAGACGCTGTGCAGTGTATGGAAGTTGTTGACTAAGTGTCTTTTTCTACGGAGCTCTTGAACTAACGTTATTGGCCTGCGAGCAAGCTCTCCATTTGGGGGGATATCGTGAAAGTAGACGCGCGAGAGGCACTCAAGAGAAGACGGTGGTATTTCCCTTTGTCCGGGCGAAATACAAATGAACGTTTATTAGAGATCGTTGCAAGCTCTCCTTTCCTCGGTCCCTCGAAGCTTCGCCGCTCGCTCGCACGTTCTCTCCCGACTCGCTTCGCTCGCCCAAACAGGAGAGCTTGCTCGCAGGCTATAACGTTATAGACTTCCTGCCATATGTTTTTACAGCCTCAGGATTCCTCTTTAACTGACCCTGCTCTAGCTACTGTGTATGTATTGTGTATAATGAAAGAGTTATAACGCTGTTTACTTCAACTCTGTCAGAAGTCTGGCTGTTGGTCATCCAAGAGGTTACCTCCTAGCACTCTTGCTTCAGTTTCTTTTGTTAAGTTGTCAGGCGACTGCAAAGGATTACGAGTAGCGAAGAGTAATTGTAGTTAATCAGCTTCACGCAGACTTGTATTTTTTTCTGACAGTTACTACATCAAGGCTAAGGAGAAGATGGCTGATATATATCTTCATCATCGCAAGGACAAGCGTTTATATGCCAGTGTGTACAGGTTAGACACAGTCATTTTCAGTTTTCTTTCATTAGGGAACTTAGAGTGGATTTCCACTGTCGCGTAATTTTTCCGTGCGAACGCGCGTAAATGAAATAGAGGCAGTGTATGAAAGGCCACGCGTAAACGTGAAAGTTGAGCGAGATTCAACTTTTACGTTTATGCGTGACCTTCCATACCTTGTCTCCCTTTCATTTACGCGCGTGAAATTAACGTGCGTACGCACGTAAAAATTACGCGACGGTGGAAATCAACCCTTTAGCATCTACGACGGCGACGCGACCGAGGACGGCAAATAAGCAATAGGGTTAGGTTGGCAAGACAACTACTCTGCACGTGTCACGCTTTTTTGTGCATTTCTGTGCCGTCTTTACACGTGTACGACTTGAAACTTCCTAATTTCACGTTTTGTGGAGGACGAGACCCCACAAGACAAACTCCTGAAAAAATCGCCTACCTATGAAAAACTAGAAGAGTTGGAATAATAGCGATGAAATTTAAAACAGCGTGAATCTCATTTTTGGGTGAAGTTTTCGCTGCCGTTGCCGTCATCCATTCACTTTGAATCCGAAGATAACTACCGCACAGGTTGTCGAAACGTTAGTCAGCAACAACAGTCCTATTCATGACTACGTTCACCTGAACGATCATGCTCAAACTACATGTACTTACTGTCTAATTATGTTAAACGATGTTTGGGGTGCTTAAGTACCCCCCTTCTCTTCTCCGTTCAATAAGTCAGTCGTTATCGACCTAAACAAGTCTTGTTAGAGCCATACGGTCGGTTATTAAAACAGTGTTTAGTTAGTGTTGCACTGAAAAAAGCGCATACTTAATCATTTTCAATTTGCCCAAACCCAATTTCTAAAAAGAGTCTACGTTTGCGGCAGGCGCACATATAGCGCAAAGTGAAAAAAATATTTTTCCACTTGGTATAACCCATTCACGAATCGAACAGAACTAGAGATCCGCTGATTTTGTTAAACTACTTTCTAAGTTAGAGCCCATACGATCCGAGACGCCTGCAGCACGTGCCGGACTTTTTAAAAAAATACTGCTGGGTTTAATTCATTTGCAGTGTCTCGTTTCATTGTTGTTCTGTATGTGCAAGTTTGATATTAAAAGGCGAGTGGACATGCAGTGCCAAACAACTGCCCATTTCGACTTCTGTGCCAACTTAGCAAAAAGGGATACAAAATATGTTTTATACCTGAAAAGTGCTGTATTAATTTGCTAATTTCTTGCAGGGAACTTGTTGATAAGAACCCAAGTGCTCATACCTGTCTGTTATTGGGGGATGCTTATATGAGTATACAGGAGGTAAGTGAAGGATGTGCTTACTTAAAGCTTCAGCCTCTGAAATACTGAAAAATGATGTGTATAAAATACATTTACAAGCGGATAGTGTCATCAAAAGTGTTACTATATTTCAATGTTTACATTGAAGGAACGGTTCTACAATAATCTTCCAGCGATCGTTCTTTAGCTACGAACTAACAAACAAAAATAACGTAGTCAATAACGTAATCAACTCAACGAAAACCTTGTCGCAAACTTCACCAGAGGACAGACACTAGAAGAGTACCTTACACCAAGTATCAACTGATGATGTACAGTTTGTAATAACTATTTATGATTACCGAATTTGCTACCCTGGATACCAGAGGTTTTCTTTGGCGCGCGGCAGGATGCTTCGCGGTCGACCGCAAGCCGACGGATCTTCGGCAGAAGGGCGAAGCTGTGTGGAGCACTGTAGAGACTTGACCGAAACAGGAAACCGCGCTTTAAAAGTCTCCAGCACCCAAGGTACAAATGTTCTGATCAGGAAAAACGATTCATAACAAGCAATTTGCCCAAATTGAACGCCTCAGTAATGCAGCTGGTGAACACGCTCTCTGTTTGGGAAAATGGTCCCTCTCCTCAAGATTTTTTCACCCCTTCCTCAAACAGAGAGCCTGTTCACAGGCTACAGCAATGTTGTTGACCTATTCTTTCTTCTTTGGCAGCTCAACAATTGCAATGCAAGTCATGAATTTGATCACTGTGTAAAAAGGATTAAAACGTTATGTAACAGTTTTGTTTTCTTCTTGTGTAATTCAGCCTGAAAAAGCAATTGAAGTGTACGAGACAGCACTGAAGAAAAACCCCAGGGACGGTGCACTGGCGAGCAAAATAGGACAGGCGTTGGTTAAGACACATCATTACGGCAAAGTGAGTGATCATTTCTTTATAAACACAGGCACCTCGTCATTAAATACTTATAAGGACCCTTCAACAAAGACGACAGCGGCAGTAACGAGAACTTCAAAGCAATAGCTTTGGATGGGCAAAACAACAACTTTTCACGTACAGCACACTTTTTTGTACATTTCTTTGCAGTCACTGCACGACTACGGCGTGAATGTGCATAATTTCACGTTTTGTGGAGGACGTAAACACAAAACAACGACTTAATTTTTTTCCTGAACTTCTATAGAGTCTTTTAGAATTCATTTCCAGAAAAGTTATTCACAAAATAAGCGCGATAAAGTTTGAAGCAGCGGGAATTCACTTTTTAAGTAACGTTCTCGTAGCCGTCTCCGTCGTTGTTGTTTAAAGCCCTGTGCAAACGGACGCAACATTGTTGGCCAACAAATGAACTCCCAACGTTGTTGGATGTTACATGTTGCGTTCGTTTGCACACCCTGTTGCATGTTGTTGCGTGTTTTTGGGAGTTGGTCAGTTGCGCAAAGTTTGAAACTGGTCAAACGTTTAGCTACGTGCAAACGGATGCAGCTAGTCAACACTGTTGGCTGAACAATGATAGGAGTTGTTGCGTCCGTTTGCACTCAGTACCTTGAGCTCCCTTACCTTATGCCCCAAACGTAAATAACACTCAGTCATTATTGCCCATTGCCTCGCTGGTACCCTTGGGTGTATTATCAGATTTTCAATGCAGTACTGAATATGGCCGACTCCGCCGGCTTCTGAAAGGACCACCTCTTTATCTCGTGGTTATATATATTCACAGTGTGACTCAAACTTAAAACCTCCTTTTCTCTTTTCTGTTTTTACAGGCGATCAATTACTACGAGGCCGCCTTGAAATCGGGACAGCAAAACTTTTTAAGGTTTGTGCTTTTTTGGAGCGTCTCTGTTTTGGGTGCCTTGTATCGTTACGGTCGGCTTTCAACATCTGAGTTTTCTTTTCAGATACGACTTGGCTGAGTTATATCTTAAGTTGAAAAACTACGACAAAGCAGACAAAGTCATCAAGTCAGCTTTGGAGCAGGAAAAAGGTACGATGATTAAGTAAGGGACCTTTCTGCATGCAACAAAACACAGTTGCTCATCTTGTCTTGTACATGTTCTTATTTTTGTGGCAAAGTGTTGATATGTCCCAATAATCACTTTTAAGATTAGCTAATGCCTGGGTGTTTGCATCATTTGTGGCTCTTATCTCTTTTTTCTGTTCCATGGAAAATGCTTTACGTTTGTGAAATTGACTGTTTGCCAAATCTAGATTGACTCTCGAAGCGTCACCTTTTAAATCTTTTTTGCAGTGGTCCAATCAGTTGTTTTTGTCCTCACTCTCACTCCGATGCAGCGTCACAGTTTCTTTTGAAACTAACCCCTTACTTTTTGCAAAGATTCTCAGTGCAAGGAGGAAAAAACTTGTTTTACGTGGCTCATAAAACAGATTCAACAGTTTTCAATATTTTAGAGATCTTTTCGGGAATATACATGTATCGTGCTCTTTGTCAGTTTAAATGCCACGCGCACTAATTGATTCGTGCGAAAAACGACATTTTGAAGAATACCGCCTGAAGATATGTCATCCAGAGTTGCAGCAACATCAGGTTTTCTATCATCATCATCATCATCATTATTTCATGGTGTACCCTTTTGCTTCTGTAGCTAATGACCTCCCATCGCTAATGGAAGAGGCTCGACTTCTGAAGCTTCAGGCGCAAGTTTATCAGCGATCCGGGAACACGGAAGAAACTCTGAAAACCTTGACTAGAGCGAAAGAAGTGCAAACCAGGTGAGCAATGCTGTTTCAGTTTCTCCTTTTCTGAGGCAATACAGGTGACTGGCGCGTACTTTCAAGGCTTCTGAAGCTCATTTCATTCCGGTATAGACTCGTGGGAGATGTCTAGTAGTCCTC